AATGAAAGATTCTAATATTGGTTATGTTTTGTGCATTTTGTTTATTAATTTTTACTAAAGGGTTTTGAATCAACTCAGAAAGAGAGTTACGGTTTCTCCAGAAGTGGTTCAAAATTGCTATTACTAGAAGAGGAGTCAAAATTATTCCCCCAAGATGAAGTTAAAATTGAGTCTGGTATAATTTTTGACTCCTCTTTGGAAGTTTTATCAACTCATTGAAAATAACAATGAAGGCATATATTTGTTGGTAGACTTAATTTATTTTTTCTCATTTCCAGGCTCCAAGATCATTCTGTACGGCGTTTTGTCAAAGAGTCAAACGTTCCTGGCTTGGCATCTTAAGTTTGTGCATGTCAAGGGAACTGGGTCGAGAACACGAGCCCAAGCCACAAATTAGACTTTTAGTGGAGAATCTTCCACTTACAAGGATGTACCAAAGACAAAAAGAAACCGAAACATAATATTAGCTTAAGAAATATCAGCAAAAAACATTGCAAAAATGTATATTGCCGGACTGTATTAGAGGGTCGTGGGTACGATGGCCAGGGGATAAGATGTACAAAGACAAAAACTACCAAAACATAACATTAGAGCGGATTTCGTATGAGTGGGAAACGGACGGTACTGTACGGTGACCGTAATCGWACTGTAACCAAATTCTAGTGCCCCATTGTTTCACCAAAATTCTGCAGGTCAGGTCCGGTAACTGTGCGGTAACCGTGCGGTAACGGTGTCCCACTCATACGAAATCCGCTCTAGCTTCACAATACCAACAAAAATATCGCACAAAATGCATATCAAAGAATTGCCCCACAAAAGCTGTCCTTCGTTCAGCAGCCATATATGGTAATCTTACCTTATTTCGAAGTACGATAGGAATGTTTTTTCGATTTTCTCGACTTTTAAAGCTTGAAATCGACTGAAACTTGCAGATATTATAGCGAAAACACTTCTCAACAATCBKCCATTTTGTTTGTTTCYATATATGGCWTGGATTCGCTAAAGGAAGCCCAAAACTAAAAAGCACAGGGAACCCGCACGAATGACAAACAATTCTTTGATATGTAGATTGCCTGGTGTTTGAACTATATTAGAGGGTCGTGGGTACACTAATCGGTGGTATAGGATGTACAGAAGATAAAAATCTACCCAAACATATGAACATAACAATGTCAACAAAATATCAATCTAATGTAGACTGTACGATGGCCGGGGGAATAGGTTGACTAATATACTTGTGGGATTCCTGTGTGAGTAATTATTTGCAAAGAAATTGTGATAGAGTGTTTTCCATGACAACCGTGCTACAACGAATCGTCAATGTGCAGCGACGCCATGTTGTGCAGCAAAGCATTATGGTAGTTGAAGTCCTCATGCTCATTATAAAAAAATATCCTAAAATATCACCTTAAAAGTCTTTTTTTACGCTTTTTTCTCAAAGCGACCATGTAATACATCTACTCGATTAGTCAAAAAATTACATTATAGGAACTTTGACTGTTGATAGAGTGTGGAAATTCGTTTGACTTAACTCCGGGGGTGTACACTGCTGTTAGGACAAAGATTGTGATTTGATGAAATACCTAAGAGAGACAGGCAATACAAAAAACGAAGGTGTCCAGTAGAACAATAGGCATTGTCTGAAATAATCCTACAATTCTTGTTTTTGCTTGTCTCGATCAATCGCAAGCTTCGTTCTGACGGTAATGGTCGACCCTACACCGACGCAGCTGACACAAGCTTA